ATTATTAGGCTCAAAGTGGGTTCCTCGTCATCGAATTTGTAACTAAACAATAATTCCCATACTAAACAGTCTTGTGTATCCAACAATTTCTCTTCAAGAAAAATACTTACAATATGTTTTTCACTGTATACAAGGACTGTTCTCAGTTTATGAACAAAGTCTCCTTATACAGTTTGCACCAACAATTTCTCTTCAAGAAAAATGCTTACAATATGTTTTTCACTGTATACAAAGACTGTTCTCAATTCATGAACAAAGTCTCCTTATACAGTCTGCACCAACAATTTCTCTTCAAGAAAAATGCTTACAATATGTTTTTCACTGTATACAAGGACTGTTCTCAGTTCATGAACAAAGTCTCCTTATACAGTCTGCACCAACAGTTTCAGTCCCCTTGGTGCCTTCAATACGGAATCTGTAGTTCTGAAGGTACACACCCACCTCATGATCCTCGCACTATCGATTTTGCACCTCTGGATTTATGCAAATGGTTGGTGGTCCCTTTGAATGATGAACTCCTTCCCATACAGGTAGTTTAGGAACTTCTGGATGGCAAATATGATGACCAGATAATCTCGTTCGATCACCAAATAGTTTTTCTCACTATACAATAGATTTTTGCTTACATCCGTTACCGGAAACGGTTAGTCTTCATCTTCTTGTAAAAGTACTGCACCAATTCCAATATCTGAAGCATCGGCCTGAACGATGATTGGTGTGTTAAAGTCTGGCATTCTAAGAATTGGTGAACTACCCAACATGTTCTTTAACTTCTGGAATACCATCTGCTGTTATTGTTCCCACTTCAACTTATTGAGTAGACTCTTCTTTGTCAGGTCAGTCAACGACAACTTTCATGACAACTAATAAAATAACCTGAGCACCATCTCAGGTTATGATACGAATACGTAAAAATTATAATTTTCTACACGCATTGTTTTATGACAACTCGTTAACGAGACTCAGCACCAACTCGTGTTATGATACGAGTTTGTGTATTTCATAACTACCAGTTTAGGAATCTCAGAACAAACTGATGTTGTTTATGATAGCAGAATTTTCAAAAATAGGAGTCTATGAACACTATATTTCATAAAAAATAGTAAAGAACTCTCAGTACCATTCGAGAATATGATACGAGTATCTATAAAAAGATGATTCTATGTTCGTCATATTTCATGGCAACTAATAGAAAAATATCAGCAAGAACACGTATTTAAAGAAATAAGACTCCGTGTTCACCCTATTTCATGACAACTAGTAAAGGAACATCAGCACCAAATTAGGTTGTTTATAATATAATTATTCCCAACAATAGTAATCCGTGTTCACCATATCTCATGACAACTAGTAAAGGAACATTAGCACCAAATTAGGTTGTTTATAATATAATTACTCTCAACAATAGTATTCCCTGTTCACCGTATTTCATGACAACTAGTTAAGGAACATCAGCACCAAATTAGGTTGTTTATAATATAATTATTCCCAGTAATAGTATTCCGTGTTCGCAATGTTGCATAACAATTGGTGAAGGAGTCTCAGCACCAACTGATATTTAAGGATACGAGTACTTATAAAAATATGGCTTTCTGTTCACTATACTTCTTGACAACGAGTGAATTAATCTTAGCACCAAATGAAATATTAGGATACGAGTAATTGCTAAAATAGATCCCTGTGTATGCTATATCTCACAGCAAATACTGAACAGATTTCAGCCTCAAATGAGGTTGGTTATGATACTAGTATTTCTAAAAATTACTCTGTAAATGCTATAATTTGAGGCAACTGTTGTGACGCTATAATACGAACATTTACAAAAAATAGGACTCTGTTTTCTCTTCATGACAACTAGTATACGAATTTCAGCAAAACAATGTGGCTGTTGTAACACGAGTAATTAAAAAAATAACTCTATGGTCACCATATTTCATTACAATTAGTAAAGTATACTCGGCACCAACAGGAGCTATAATATAGACATTTATAAAAATAGTGCTCTGTGTTCGTAATATCTTCTGACAACTAGTGAAGGAATCTAAACACAGTTGGTCATTATGGTACAATTACTTTGAAAAAACATGATTTTGTGTTTGCTACAGCACCAACTGAGATTGTTTATGATATGAGAATTTCCAAAGACAGGACTCTGTCTTCGCTATATTCCATGAGAACTAATGCAGAAGTCTCAGAACTAACTGATATTATGGTTCAAGTATTTTCAAAAATAAGACTCCATGTTTGCTATATTTCATAAGAACAAATTAAGGAGTATTATGAAATACACTGAAGAAGTATCAGCACCAACTGAAGGTATGATACGAGTTTTTCAAAAAATAGGAGACAGCCAGTGAAGGAATATCCATACCAACTGATGTTAGGATAAGAATACTTACAAAAAATAGGACTCAGTGTTTCCTACATTTCACGACAGCTAGTGATGGAATCTTAGCTCCCCTACTGAGGTTGTTTATGATGCACGTGTTTAGAAGAATTTGATTGTTTGTTCGATATCTTTCAGACTTATAAGATTAGTAAAACCATTACAAATATAACATTATGTAATTTGCAAGGAAAGAAAAGATTCAAAATATATACGGGGACTTTAAACATGTTTAGTTCATAATATATTTATAGAAGTTACAACGGTGGTAGAATATATCTTGTTCTTGTTATTGTTTGTTTGTTTGTTTAAAATTAAGCACAAAACTACTCAGTTTCTAGCGTTGTAAGTCCGCAGACATACCTTCTGTGCCACTGGGGGGGGGGGGGCTGTAGTTATTGAAGTATAAAAGTTAGTTTGGAACATGACACACATTTATTTCTTATTATTTTAGAAACATGAATTGTTCTTCAAACTAACGAAAAACTCTCTATTACATGTCTAATCAAATCATACTCAATATTATTTAACTATAAAGCATCCTAAGTTTTAATTTTCTCACTCTCTCTTTTGTTTAGTAGATAACACAGGGTATAAACGCTACAGAAAATAAGGATACATGTTATTTAATTAAGATAAAAGAGTATTATTTCCCATGTTATAGTTCAAAGAATACCTAAAATTTTAAGGATATCGGAGAAAGGAATAAATGTCATGAAGGTTTAGTTCCAAATGTCTAATTAATGAAGGCTTTATTCGTAACGATCCTTCATTTTCTGCTGAGCAGAAAATGCTGAAGTCCTTATCTCAAGGTGTCTCTTTACATATTTTGTTGAAACACTGGAATGATTTTCGTCAGTCAGATTGAGATGTTCTTTGATTCTAACCGCTAAATGGAGAACGGTGGAACCAATATACAAATGGTTTCAGATACATGTATTTCTTCATGATTTTACCTTATTAGTAAGATCATGAAGAAATACCTACAAAAAATGAGTACCACCTATGCATCATTGTTTAATGCACCTAAGTTAACTCTAACAACAATCTTACCGGTAATGGGTTCTATAAATTTCAATTATAAAAGTATATTGAGCACATTAAAACCTACATTTGTTGGAAATCCTCTTTAAATTCAAACTTAACATTAAAAGTATTTCAAGGTCAAATATTCCATTCAAACATTATAGTCAACTATTATTAGTCTCAAAGTGGGTTCCTCGTCATCGAATTTAAAATAGCGATCATATGTTGAATATAAATGTACATGTACCTGTTGCAAACAGGCTTATATTGGTTCCTCGATGCGCCATCTAGTAGTTTAATAGAAAGATATCTCAAACTGAACAATGGAATTCATTGCGATAAAGACTTCAGCATACTCTGCTCAGCAGGGAACAAAAAACATTGTAAATAAAGGAGGATACTAATTAGTAATTAGACATTTGGAACCAAGCCTTAATGATACCTCTTCGCCTTCTTCATATATGCTAATATACTCAAAGCTATTTTCTGTATCGTTATACAGTGCAATACCAAGAACACAATAAGCTTAGGTTCATGTTTATGTAAATGAAGAACTTGAATATAACGCCAACTCAATCCATATGTTTGAAGTCTGAACTAACAGTTAAAATCCTGTAGAACTTAAGTGTCATGAGTTTGTTCATTTGACTCATCATTAATGCTCTTTCGAGGAGGTGTTTAGTAATTAATAACTGATTCTACTTTTTTTTCCAAAGGACCCCCAGAACCTCTTGAAAATTGCACTGTTACCAATCTGACTCAAACCATGATAACAATGAAGTGTGTCGAAGGTAATGATGGTGGACTTCGACAAAATTTCTACGCAGAGGTTTTTCATAAGGGCCTAAATGAATTAGCGACGAATTTTACAACCCAAACTCCAGTATTCTTAGTTGGCGGACTTAATTCTGGATGTTTGTACGTGATAAAACTTTACGCCACAAACGCTCAGGGTAAAAGTGATCCCTTTGTAACAAACATTAAGACGTTACAAGGACCTGCAACTCAGTCTGGACGTAGTAAGTATCTTCCGACTCCTTCTTCTTCTGTATTTTTTTAGGGCTGAACTTGTTTCAGAATTAGCTAAACATTGTGGTAATAGTCAATACTGTAATATGAGGTCTTACACACTATAGTCCCATAGTCACTAAGCTTCGTTTATATGGACAATACACAATTATTCATTTGTAAACGTACGACTTTTACTCGATAGACTACTTTGCAAATTTTACCATTTACAGTATGTTTAATAAGAAATAGGCAATTTTCAGAAAACTGGCCAAGACTTTTCTTCATTAAACAATTGAAAATTATTGTTAAAGTTATCCATTTATGAAACACGAATGATATTAAATCATATTGAAATACTTTTTGAAGAACTGGAGGTGAATAGCAAACACGTTTTACAAAAAATGTAGAGTCATCTGTAAACCTAAAGAATTTTTATTATCAAATGGCATCCAAGCACACATCCAAAACTAAATGGCAAACAGAGTTGTAGAGATTAATATTTAATATAATTAGGGAGTACCTAACTAAGCTGAAAAGGTACTAAATGTAACAAAAGTATAGAAGTAATAAAACGGTTTACCACAATTCCTGATTCCATCAAGTAAATCGTTCTATACTTCTAACAGCACCAGAAGAAGATTCTCTATAGATGTTTAAAATCGTGACTTTACTCACGGGGATTTGTGGAAGATTCTCTATAGATGTTTAAAATCGTGACTTTACTCACGGGGATTTGTGGAAGATTCTCTATAGATGTTTAAAATCTGACTTTACTCACGGGGATTTGTGGAAGATTCTCTATAGATGTTTAAAAT